GCCAATGACATGAAAGCAATCTTGAATAACTCTAGCATTAACATTATCGACTCCAGCCGATTTTCCTAATGAAAAACAAATAACTCTAAGTTCATCTAATGTAATTGGGTGAAAAACTTCAAATCTGCAATTACTATTAACTGGCTGTTTAATTTCGTCAGGTTCATCGACCAATTCAATTGATTGATTAATCAATAAAACACTGTCTACAAAATAATCATTAAACTTAGCTGCAATTACTTGTTCTGACTGCTTTAATGTGCCATTAAAAGTTATGGACCGCGGTTTGCAATTACTAGGTTTTAATAAAGATTTCAAATTGTCCATAACTCTTTGCTGTTGTTTTGATGCTGATCAATCTTCCTTTGAACATATTCACAACGAGTTTTCTTTATCGATTGTGAATACTTATTTCGCGCGATTGTGTACCTAGTCCAATGATTGTCATTATTTGATCTACAAAACTTTTTATACCATTTGTCCCTTTTCCGTTTAAGACGCAAAAGATTCAAAATGTACCAGCTGTACGAGTTTTTCAAAGAAACAAACTTTTGCTCAACTAGTTGATTGGTACACGTTTCCAAAGCGTTATTAAGAACAGCTGTAGATTCATCTAAGTTAGCGGCCGCGAATGGAAAATCCACGCTCCTCTCAACAAGATTAAAACAGCCTGTTTCGAATATTTCCTCCAGCACTTCAATTTTACAAAATTATCGTTATCGTTAACTGAACAAATGCAATCAACATTGAAATAAACGTGGTCGATTAAAGTTCTACTGTGCCTGGAAATACGCGTATATTCATTTACTGTTTGCTTTAAATTAAAAAACTCAGCTAAACGCTTCAAATGATTCGAATTATGGTTATCACGCCAAATAATATTAAAATCACCAGCCAATATATTTAATTTACTAGCATCAAGGAATGTCTCAAGCCAGTTCTCTAAAACTTCAACAAAACGCTGGTCACTAGAACTGGGAGAATGATACAAAACACCATAATTACCCGTCTTCATGCCACATACAACTGTAATGCCCAAGAACCAGTTGCCATCAATAACTTCGTTGGTACGAAGGTTGAATTGAACTGATTCTTTGACATAAATAGCAACACCGCCAGTGTGTCTAGAATGTGATAAACAAGCAGCAACGATATATCCCGGAATACTATACTGATCAAAAGCTTCGGTTTCTACAATATGAGTTTCAGATAATAAAACTAAAAGAGGACGTTTTTCCTCAACAATCTGACGTAATACTACGTAGTTTGTTGACAACCCCGCAATATTCAAATACAAAAAATCACATTCCTGGAACTTGGCTGCTATTTATTGAAACGCAAGCAGCTTTTCTTCTGATCAAAAAGTCTTTTATAGAGCAAACATTCCGAGCTAAATGCGGCATGGTTGACGTCCAAGTTCATTTTACGTTCTTTATTTATTTTCAAACAATTAATACATTTCAATACAGTTGACGTACACTCTGACATTTTGTGTTGTTGGCTGCACCTAGAGCATCTATCACAATTTTTGCAATCCATGCTCTTGTGCCCAAATTCTCCACATTTGAAGCATCTCAACACATTAATCGCGGGAACTTTCGAGCACCGATCAAACCCTACATTTACTTTTTTCGCACATTACAAAAATTATAACGTATCGACATCGACTTCAATTACAACACTAAACTTATTATAATTGAAGCGTGGATTTTCAAACATGTTCACTACTTTTACATCATTTATAGCAATGTCTTCATTTTGACTTTTTAAGTAGGCAATGAAGACATCGGAGGAATACTGATCGCTCATGCCCACTATTTTCAATCTTGGCACCGAAGTGGGAACAACTGCACTATATTTGTCTCCCAGATTGCTTTCAATACCATTTTTCAGATCATTTAGATTAGCTCCTGTTGCACACTCAACAATAATGGAGCCATCTTTACCATTCCTGAAATTACTGATTTTGTGTGTTTTTGGATCTAATTGTGTTTTCAAAAACTTACACCCTCCCCATGGACATGGAGGTTGACGGTACTGAAGCAAAGGGTTATGTTTAATTTCTTTACATTTGCAACGATGATGATTTCCTATAGTGACACATATCACCTTCTTAATGCTTCAGTATACCTCAAACGATTAATTCTTGGTTGTTAATAGAACTTCCTTGATGAAATCGGCTGCTTCATGCAGACTGAGCAATTCTGATTATAGTATCAGATTTGTTCTGTATACAGAGGAACTGGGAGGGCTTATTAGAAACTTCTCACCAATAAAGTAATGATCTTCTAGTAAATTTTGCATATCATTTTATTAAAATTTTATTTTATTTTAGCATATTATTTTTGTTACAGCCAATTGGCATTAGTATACGATACAAAAGATTTAATGTTACTTGCTCGTTTTTGCGTAAAATAATCAATATTTATTTTACTTGTAATTACCTATGAAAGTTTTTTTTCAAGTTTTTTTTTGTGATCTGAAAATTTACCCAGTTTGGTTAGAAGTTTCAAAGCTAACGCATGTCCACAGGCCTAATAGAAAGGTAGGCAGGCTTCCACTCACTTGCTATAGATGAGTGATTTTCGGAGTTTTGAATTCGTTAGATGTTGTAATGGAGATTTGTGCTGTTGGATGCTGGAGAAGATTGGAGGGCGGGTGTTTGACGCATAGAGCCTGTCAATTTCGCTTTCAGAGTGTCGCAGTCAGCGGTTTTATGATTCGTGAGCGCTTACGATTCGTAGAAACGTTGATTTGACTGCAAGTGGATTTTACGGGTTTTGTGTGTCGGACGCTTGCTTTTTGGCCTCTTCTTGTGTCTAACATGTGCAGAGTATTATTATAACGTCTAATGGTTTTGAGATTCCTGGTGGCGTGAAATATATTTGTGAGAATATCTTTTTGAGATTTTAGCAGTCACGTTTTGTTTGTAGTTTATATTTTATTTATTTCATTTAATTATCGTAAATATTAGTTATTCAATAATAGATAGTTCATGCATATATTCGTACTTTGACGCGAAGCGCTGTGGATTATAAGATGCTCGATGACCCTCGAGGGATCGATTTTGCTTACTGAGCAGAAAATCATGGATTGAACCCCAAGCTCTTCCACAGCACAATAAATCGTCCACCATTTGTATATTTGATATTGAACATTAACCTCGGAAACTATTTGCATATCAAGCGAAAACGTAGTCCAGTATTGTCGCGAAGCGTTATGGTTCTGAGATGCTCGATGACCCTGGAGGGATCGTTTTTGCTTACTGAGCAGAAAATCAATCCCAAGTTCTCCGTCATGACTCTTAAAATTCATTATCACTAAACAAAATTAATATGTTCTTTCGATAGCCGGCTATCGAGAGATTAAATAAACAACAAATAAACAATACATACTTTTGGTTGCATCGCCAACTTGAGGTGAATCCTAACCGAATACCCTACCCAACCCTCCAACTCCGTAGCACTTATGAGGGTGTCGCTAAGTCGGTGGCCTCTCGTTAAGTAAGTACTACATCAACATTTCCTTCCCTATCCCTAGTTATGGTAAAGATGGGCGTGGCCGGGAATAGCGACAGTCATGCTTCTGTTACTCTTGTTTAGATTGGAACCAATGTTTACTCCTCAGCATTATTCCTGAAAGTAGTCTAACTGAGAATTTCAGAAGAGACGTGAGTGTCGCTAGTATCCAATCTACGAAGTATATCATAACAACGCTAACGCTAACGCTAACGCTAACGCTAACGCTAACGCTAATTGTGTTTTCAAAAACTTACGAGTATCTTCGCAAGCTTGTTTGGACTCTTTTGCTTTAATCACAATGACCGGACGAGTCTTACGATTACTCCGTTTGTTACTGTTTTGGATTCGCTCCTCTCTTATACTAGACCCTCTCTAGTTTTCATACTTTGGTGTCTCAGATAGCATAGAGTATCATTGTGCTTGTCACACAATACAAAATTTCTACATTGATGTTGGCATAAATAGCAATCAATTAATAACTGCGGAAGTGCATCTAGAACTTTAAAGTTGAGAGCCGAGAATCGAAAAATAAGCCTAAATAGCCTGGAAGAAGAAAGGTGGTTTTCTTAAGGGGCTACGCCTACCTGGAAACTTTCAAAAAATCGATTTTTTTTTATTGTCCTAATCGAAAGTATATAAAGTCAAGAATATTTCCTCAAAAGATCAAGTTGATCCGATGAAAATTGTGAAAGTTATGCGACGTACAAAAATATTCACTTATAGTGGAAATGTATACATTCGATTCGTCCGATTCGTTTTGATTTCTGTTCAGTACTATTTTGTTCAGTCCACGATCGCTCGGATTTCGTCTATCATTTAATTTCGATTTTTTACAGCCGATCAAAGACAAATTTTAAGGATCAAAAATCGGCACTTCAACTTTGCAAGGCCGCCATTTTGTCAAAAAAATTAAAAAAAAAAACCGAACGATCAAGGACTAGTTTAACACATGCTTAACGATTTGGCATGGTTTCTTTTTTAGTTCAGATGATTACATCACAAACCGCAGTTGGCACCGCAAAAAGCGTGTTTTAGAACATCGTCCACGGGGAGCAGCCGTGCGGGACACCAGGACCTCGTTTTTACAGCATCGACTGATAAATGTAACATTTAATGTGTGTTCAATAAACGGCAGAAAACCGATTTTCAATATGTTGCGTCGTTTTCGAGAAAAAAAATCCAAACTTTCGCTTTTTTTCGGTCTTGCAGGTAGGCGTAACCCCTTAATGGTATTTTTTTTCATCCGGGTACTCTTAGTTTCGCAAGTATGATCCGTTTTCCAATTTTGGCTAAACATCATTGCATTTGGCACGTGTCGTTACGAAAAACATGAAATTAAAATCACTATTCGAGCACCCCTAGCCGATCGCGACTCCTTGCGCGGGCAATTCTTCGGGTCGCTCGTTCCGGAACCCGACCGGAGTCCCGAAGATCGACCAACGTACGGGAATATTAAAATTTCCAAGATCGAGTCAGTAAGCTGTGAACGATCGGACGCGCTAGATCGAAAGTGGCCGCGTCGTAGAGCCGACTCGACGAGACGGAAAAGAGCGAGTAAGAACACACAGAGAGCACAAGAGACCCTGCTATCTTCTGCTGCTCACTAGGCACCAGCCCATTACAGTCGCGCGGGGCAAAGCATTAAGAAAACCTCCTGAGAAGAACAGTCAACCTTTTCACTTGCCTTGGCGAGATCACTGCTGGACCGACCTACCTTCCAACCAACGAAATCCACAGTGGGAAAAGAGGGAAACGAGAGAAAAAAAAGGAGCGTGAAATTAGAGAATAAGAAAAATCACGAAAATCGCCGGCGCTGGCGGGAAAACCGTGAAACGAAAGGAAAAGAATAAATTATTAGTGAAGTTCCTAAATTAGTGTTTCGTCAAGCTTTCTCTTCTTTTTCTGGGGGGAGGCTGCGGAAAACACGAGCCGAGAATTCCAAATCCGGGGTGTTACGGTGTTGACATTTGTTTTCTTAAATATTGTTGAAGCGATTTAAAAATAGCGAAGATCCAATTGTAGAATAGTGACCCCAAACGACGGCAACGACTACTCCGACGACGACGACGGCAGATTGCAGTTGCAGCAGAAAAATACGTTGAAGATCAATTAGTGCTGGAATCATCATAAAGTCGTTGGTGATTTGAGAGAGTGACGCGGGAAAGCAGGGAATATTGTCGCAAGTCCAGCCGAGTCGAGCGAGTGCAAAGTGTTTAGCAGCAGCATAAAAAAAATCTGTGACGGCTAGTTCGGGAGTTCGAATTACCGCTGACGACAGCAGCCTAAAGCTGGCTACGATTTGCTGCTAGGAGCACCCGGAGTGAGCCCTTGGCCTAGGGCTTCCGCGGGGCGGCCGCTACCATGGGCACCCCAGTGAAATGGTGAGAATTCTTTAGGAGTTATTTTATTACAAACTTAGAATGCAATGCGCCATGTGAATGTGGCTGGTAAGGTTGGAATTGTAACAAAGCGGAATTTGGTTTCACGTATGGACTTTGCATTTGCAAGTGCTGTTGGTATAATTGGACGAATTAACAGAATTGTGGGTTTTTCCTTGGGTCGGATTACATTGAGGCAGCCATTAGCAGAAAGGTGAACAAATGCAAACGCCACACCGTTTTGATTCAAATGGGAAACAGTTGATTTTGGAAGCATTTAAACAATATTTTACGCAAATTATTTTAACCCTTTCGGAATGGATGCCCATCTCCTATGATTAGCTGAATAAAGTTGTACTTTTGGATGTTGATTCTTTGTCTATATATCTCAAAAATATAGCCGAGTTCTTTGCGAAAATCCTTTAAATTGTATATTAAATAAAATTCGATGTATGCCTCAACTAAGATTTAGGCACATCTAGAAGACTATAGAATGCATATTAGGGCAGCCCAAAATAACACTTTGTTTAGAAAGACGGGAGCTCACCCGCCAAACACTGATATTTATGAGCATCTAAAATCTGATTAACTCTCAGAAAAGCTCGATTGAAAAATATTTGCTTGATTGCATGTCCGAATAAATCATATGTATTGACCATTTTTGTAAATATATAAAGATTTTAAAGGAAATAAGCAAACATATTACTATTCTTTCTCAAAAAAATCAGGATCAACTAAATAACGATCATCAATAGGCGTAAACTTTTTTGAGCAATGTTGTTGATCTTAAAATTTCCGATTTGTAAGCTGTGTTGAATTAACTATAGGTCTTATTTCAATTCCCAGTTTTTGATGATTGATCGACATCATGCTCCTAAAAATCCTGATTTCTGATAATTGAATAAATGTAATGAAAAAAATATGCATCTAGCAGGCCGTGATTTTTTTTTCTTATATAGTAGAGACCCCAAGGAATGTGTACTAAATACTAAAGGGTTGGGCTGCACTATATGTTGATGCATTAGAAATATTTGTTCAGCTATGGCTATGAAAATTCTAATTTTCATAATTCTCATTGGGGCTACCTCTAAATCAAGTTTTTCAGTGTTGCCGCCGCGAGTTTTTTTTTGTAGCATCCTTGGCTATCTAGTGTAGTGGTAAGCGTGATTACCTCTCACCCCAGTAGGCCTGGGTTCAATCCCAGTCGGTGCCGCCGGGATGTTCTGAGGCATAACATCTCTGATCACGCCTTCCTTCGGAAGTGAAGAAAAGCCGTTGGTCCCCGGTTCATGAGTTGATGGGTCGATAGGTAGGGTCCAGATGTGGGAGCTGCCTCCCTGGCGTCGGTAGCATTGGTGCTCAGCACGGAAAACAAATCAAGGAATAAAAAAAGAGACTGGCCTCTTCCCTGGGGCTTCCATGATTTTTGTCACTCTTGTCAGATGGCATGGTCGCTTATGACATGGCCTAAAATATGGAAATTTCGATATACTGCTCGACTAGTTCATGTTAAAATCAGAGATTGACTTCTCCCTTAGGGGCCCCGGAAACTGTTCCAAGACCATGGGTAGTCTTTCCCTAATAAACTACTACCATAAACGAACTGTATCCCGGATGGGTAAACTACCCCACAAATGGTTTGGATGATACCCCAAACATGTCTTTAGCTCTCTTTTATGGTTATTTTTAACAGGGTTGTCACTCTTTTTAGTTGATATGGTATCTAATGTAATGTCCATGACATTCTGAACATTTTGAATTATTAGTTTATGTTGCAATCAGATACTGGCCACTTCTCCGGGGGCTTCTGGAATATGTTCCGGGATCATTGCGTTGCCATTGGCATTCTGCTTAGTTGGTATGGTCTCTAAAGCATAGTCTAAGAAATTTTGAAAATTTTGATATGCCGTAAGACTGTTTTCTGTTGTAATAAGAAACTGGTCACTTCCCCAGGGCTTCCGGCATCTGTTTTAGGGTCATCGGGTAGCCTTTGTCACTTTTGTCATTTGACATGGTCTCTAATGATATATCCATGAAATTCTGAAAATTTTGATATACCACATGACTAGTTTTTGTTAAAATTTGAGTTTGACCACTCCCCTGAGGCGTCCGGAACCTGTTCCAGGGCTATCGGTGACTTGTGTCACTCTTGTCAGTTAGCATGGTCTCTAATGACACGTTCACGATATTCTCAAAAAATTGACATGCCGCATGACTAGAGTTTGTTGCAATCAGAAATTGGCCACTTCCCTGGGGGCTTCTAGAACCTGTTCCGGGGTCATTGCGTTGCCATTCCCATTCTGCTTAGCTGATAAGGTCTCTAAAGAATAGTCTATGGAATTCTGAAAATTTAGATATGTCTGAATTCTGATGCAATAAGAGACTGGCCACTTCCCCGGGGCTTCCGGCATCTGTTCCAGCGCCATCGGTTGGCCTTTGTCATTCTTGTCAGTTCACATGGTCTCTAATTACATGTCCAATGACATTCCGAAAAATTTTATATGATGATCTGATTTTAAATCAGAGTTTGACCACTCCCCGGGGCTTCCGGAACCTGTTATGGGGACAATGAGTAGTCCATTCCAAAATTTATGTAGGCCATATTTTAGTTTTTATTAAAACCATACAACTTTGCAGAACATTGTTTGGTTCTATCTTTTTGTCTGAGCTTCGCAATAAGCTTGGATACCTGGGAACTCCGTCACCCTTTTACGGGTGGAAAAATCGTCACGCACATAAGCGTTAAAAACCATGAAGTTTGATATATAGCACAAAGGGTTTTGTTTTTTGTTGAGAATTGGCCACTTCCCCGGGGGCACCGAAACATCCTCGGGAAGGTTAGTGTGGTCGTGGACTGTCAATAGGGGCATTATCGGCCAAGTTTTGTAAAATCATTAAGTATGATATGTCACACAACGGTTTCTGGATCTTGTCGAGAATTGGGTACTTCCCCGGGGGTACCGGAACATGTCCGGGAGGACTAGTGTGACGGTTGGTCCGGCATTAACGAATGCACGTATCATATGAGATTTGAGCTAATTGGGACCACTGATTGTACCCAAGTAACAATTTTGGGTTTTATGAAGGTTCTGTCGACCATGACTTAGACTTGTAGAAACCTGCAATGTTACTTGGGTACGGCAATTTGAAGAGATAACTTCCTGATGTCTTTGGAGAAATTGTTAAGCAGATAGTTGGCCACCTTTAAAAAATAGTCAGTTTCTGGTAGGACTCAAGTCTGGTCCTGTGGAAAATGCGGAATATCCGTAAAAGTGGTCAATTCATGAAAGAGCTCCGTGGATTTTTCGAAACCGCTCATATAGTAGACGTCTTTTCACAATAAATTCGGAGTTGTGACCAGAAAATTTGTACTGAGGACCACGGGATGGTCTACTAAAAGATCCGGATCATCCGTAAAAGTGGTCAATTCAAGACCAACAATTGAAATGGCCTTAACTCCATTTTGTAAACAAACCTTGTAAGGCCATTTTGTCGCGAACCGAAGTCCGCAAAGGCAAACCAACATAATGGACAGGTAGGGGAAATTCTCCTCTACCCGATTGTGGTTTAGGTTCGCGAGAAAATGGTCTTACAAGGTTTGTTCACAAAATGAAGTTAAGGCCATTTCAATTGTTGGTCTTGAATTCATAAAACTAATAAGATGTCTATGAGTGGTTTTGAAGAAAACGCGGAGCTCTAGGATCAGTTCAATGAATTGACAACTTTTATGGATGTTCAGGATCTTCCGGTTAATAATCCCGTGGTCCCCAGGGTTTATTTTTCGGTCACAACTCCGAATTTATTCTGATAAGACGTCGAAGAGTGATTTGACATGGAGCTACAGGATCAGTTTCATGATTTTACCACTTTTAATGATATTCCGGATATTCTAGTGAACCATCCCGTAGTCCTCAGCGTCCATATTCCGGTCAAAACTATTAATTCATTCTGTTAAAACGCCTATGAGTGGTTTCGAATAATTCGCTGAGCTTTAGGATCAGTTTTATGAATTCACAACTTTTACGCATGTTCCAGATCTTCCGGTGGACCATCATGTAGTCCCCAGAGTCAAAATTCCTATAAAATTCTGAATTCATCCTGATGAGATGTCTATGAGTGGCTTCTAAAAAACCGCGGAGCTCTAGGATCAATTTCATCAATTGACCACTTTTATAGATATTCCGGATCTTTTAATAGACCATCCCGTGGTCCTCAGTACACATTTTCTGGTCACAACTCCGAATTTATTGTTATAAGACGTCTACTATATGAGTGGTTTCGAAAAATCCACGGAGCTCTAGGATCAGTGTCATGAATTGACCACTTTTACGGATATTCCGCATTTTCCACAGGACCAGACTTGCTTCCCACCGGAAACTGACTGTTTTTTAAGGTGAACAACTATCTGCTTAACAATTTCTCCAAAGACATCAGCAAGTTATCTCTTCAAATTGCCGTACAATCAGTTTTTGGTCCCAATTAGCTCAAATCCCATATGCTACTTGTATTCGTTAAGTGTTCTGAAATCGAAACATAGCCGGTGCCGGTGGTGTAGTGGTAAGCGTGACTGGGTCTGGGTTCAATCCCAGTCTTGGCGATGGGATTTTTCTGAGGCATAAAAATCTCTGGTCACGTCTTCCTTCGAAAGGGAAGTAAAGCCGTTGGTCCTGTATGTTTGAATGGGTGCGATATCGTACACAGTTAGAAATACATAATCTTACACGTGACGGAATCCATCTTTGGCATAAAGGATGAGACGTAAACAGACATGTCATGTAAAATAAGGTGCTCCGAGACTGAAAAGATCGAAATTACGTTTGATTGAGCTGAATTTCGCGTCTATTATGACATAATCACAGACAAACAGACGTAACTCTTCATTGTGTATCTTCGTTCACGCATTTAACGGTTGATTTGAATATTATCAGTTCCGCGAACTACTCGTCGTAGCGCTGGCATCGGATCACTTTGACGTTTCTATACATTCTATTGAACTTTCATGC